CGAAGGCATTTAGATTTCATAGTATTTTCTTGTATGCCAATAAGAGTAGATTTGAGACGAACGTTTTTTTTCCTGTATAACTACATTGCTAGGTTTGTTTAAGACTTAATATTTGGAAAAGCATTCATGATGATTCACATTAGAGGCGCCTCATATCACATTTTTCGTACAACTATTATGCCATAATATAGAAATGCATTTCTCTATTATTTAAGGGATTTCTTTAAGACTCTTCAAAGAAGGCTTCATCTCTTCTTATTTTTGCCCAGAAAACAACACACTTTTGAATCAGATTTAAGTTTCGATTAACGGATATTTTTGCCTATCTTACTTTGTGAGTAGTCCAAGTTCTCTATTTTTTCATTGGTCTAACCTATCACATTTTCTCTCTAACTGTATCTTATCTTGAACGGACTACAATGGTCATTTAAATTACTTCGCTAATTACTGACCATTTTACATCAGCATATTTAAACGTAGCGATCTAAATTTAACATCCTTTTCCATCCTACTCAACTGCATCTTTTTCACCTCTTTAACTATCTTTAACATTGCAGTCTAGTATATATGACCTTTGGTCTTCATTTCGATCTCATTCCTTTAAAAAAAATTCCCTTGCAAATTATCCTTATCATACTTAATTCTTTAATCATTCGTATTTCACTCTTCCACTACTTATACTAATCTTACAGACATCTAATAATCAATTTCATGTTTTCCTATTATACAATTTTAAATATTCTCGTTCAATAAGTTCCTCACATTATACATGCATTATTGGAGTCTTCATGTGGTTGCTTTGTTTGCTTGAATTTGCAACTTTGATGCTCTTGCCACTGCTTTTTATCGTGTAGATGCAAAGCACTGTATAGTATTATTAATTGTCATGTCAAATTACCTTCCATTATTAGGCTTTTTGGAATCCCTCATTAGGCTCTTTCTGGTAAGATCTTCCTTAATCTGTCTTAATCAATATTCATTGCTCTCAGAATCACTTAATAAGATTGGCTTTTATTGTCTAAACCACCAGCGTCCATCGTTTTTCAATGAAAATACACAGTTTTCACCTAATACTTTGGATACTCGTTGCTAGATGACTGTGCGAGAACTAAGTCATTTTATATTACGAATAGAATCGCCCTTTTTAATGAAGACTCGCTACTCAACTCAACATATCGCTTCGGCAAATTAGCCTATTTAGTGTACTATGCCACCTTACTTTTCGACAGATTTCTCCATTATGAAGTCGAGATGAGAAAGGCATTGTTTGTCTTGTACATAATATATACCTCGTAATTCAATGGGTATAGGCCCTTCAATAATCTCAGGTCATGTAACTCATATTTTCCTTTTGTAATGGAGGAAAGAAAGCCAGGACTTATATTGATGGTATTGCCTTTAATATGGTCCCATTGTCTTTGGGTAAAAAAATTATGCTTATATTTTTGTGGCATCTTATGAATCACTTATGAGCAGATGAATTACATGAATCTCATCCATAATTTATCTACTTACAGAGTTCTGTATCGTATTTGCCTGCATACTTTGCTAGTTACGATCGGCTATATCTCAGTTGGCAGCATAGTCAACCTGCTGTGGTAGCTAGACCAATTTTACGTTGTAATCGCAAGGTTTTATTCTCACTTAAGGATGATCTCTCTTCATTATGTGAGGAGATAGCTAAGTATATACTTTATTCGGAGGTATGAAGACCAAAATATTGTAGTCTTTATTGTATTCACGGTCTCCTTGCGTTGCATAGAAATTGTTTGACCTTGTTTTTCACAACTTGGTAATATTGGGAGGAAGATCTAGAGGAACTCATCTTGTCAGGAGTCCACAGTATCATTGATAATTTCCAGTCGCATCGTGGACTTGGTACATTCCCAGACGTCTCGCCGGCATCTTAGTCGACATCGTCAATGAGCTTTGCCAGTCTTAGCACTACACTACAACTCACTAAAGACACAAGAGGGTTGTAGTGTGATTCTGAGTATGGCAAGGCGCACTGCCGATGCAGGCGAAACGTCTGGGAATGTACCAAGTTCACGGTCCGACTCTGGAAATTATCATGCATACCATGAACTCCGGACTAGGTGCGTACCTTTAGATCTTCCTGCCAATATGACCAAAGTGTGAAACCAAGGTCAAACGACTTCTAACTATATATTTGTTCATTAAAAATATTTATGAAAATTTATTATCTTACTTTTCACCAGGCGTAGGCATTTATTCTTGCTTTTCACCAAAGATACACACTTTATCTTAAAGATCGATTTTTGGCATCTTATCCTCCAACTTATAATGGCTATGATGTAGGTATTTCATTCATTTGTGCGATTCATATGGCCTTTCTTCTTCCAAACAAACTTGCTTGCCCATTCAGTGGTATGAACTACTCATACTATCGATGGTGCTGGTGTCATCCATGGTCCTACACGACAGCTGACAAAGAGGCAAGTAATCTAATGCGCCACGTTGTTCTCTCACTTCACTTCATCGCTATGCTGCTTGCATACTATCTGCCAGACCCAGTGTCTTTACTGCCTGAAGAAAATCGGCGTCAGCTACGTCGCCGTCGCCTTTCCGACGATACCAGTGCTTCTATTTACACCAATGTAACTTGCACTTCTGGTGGAGATCTTCGGACTGATGCTAGCGAGACTGCTCCGCAACCAGCAGTGGGCCCAGAAGATCCGCCTTCTTACTCTGAACAGCCCGTTCTCTCTGCCTGCAGCGGCACCGTGGCAATCGACCCAAATATTCATAACCAGGTCGCCAGTGGCAGCATTGAAGATGAAGAGTATTCTGTCAATATAGCGGCCCGGTCATTCGGAAGTGGTGTTTCTTCTTCAGAGGGTTCCCCAAGTACTTCTAGTTGCAGCATCACCATAAGTGATCACAGAACTACCGCAACATCTGAGAATCCTTCTAATGCTAGCGACGTTTTAGAAACGCCTTCCATACTACCTAGCTCGTCTTCCTGTGCATCAAAAACGGAGATAGGTACCTCTGCCGCCCCTCTTCTTGAAAGGTTCAATTCTTCAGTCACGGACATTTCGATTAACCCTGATAATGATTTAGATGTAGCTAGCGACCATGAACAGCAAACGAGTTCTTCGGTAAGTTAACTGTATCTTCTAGTCCTTTTGGTCTTCATATTTTTGATAAAAAATTAAACATGGATGTACAAATCTATGTTGTTATTCTAAAACGGAGTATTTTAATCTAAGAAGGCCTGTTTATTACCTCAGAGTGTCATTTGCCTGTGCATATATGCTGGATCG